GTAGTATTTGCGCCAGAAATACTTGGGCTTGGTCATTACTCTTTAGGCCATGTTGATTTGATTATATGGATGACATCCTCCGGGAGCCCCAAAACTGATGCGGGCGTGCGAATAAAAAAAAGTTTTGCAAAAAAAAGTTCTTTTCATTATGAAATCTACGTGGTCATGAGTGTTGAGCAAATGGCACAGAATATGGTTTGGCGAGTAATCTAGTCTTCAAGTTCATTTCTTTACAATTTCGTCTTTTTTCGTTTGATTTTGGCATTCTACGACATTGGTATAGTTTTTATTAATTTTTTTTGTAACTTATGCTATATTTTTGCTCATTTTGCAACTGTTTTGTACGATTTACCGTATGGTTGAAAACGTTTTTTTTTTTTTTGGAAACGGCCGAAAATTCATGCGCGCGCGGATGTCATCCATATAATCAAATCAACATGGCCTTACTGAATTACTCTAAAAAGGAAACAGAGAAGCTGTTAAATTATACATTATATGAAGAACAAAAGTATGATCAACTCGACGTAACTAGTTGTCAAACGTTTTGTATCGTATTCATTTCGGCGCCTTGAAACTTAGAGGACCGACCCCATCTTGTTTACGCAAATTTTTGGCGGGATTATGAAAAATAATTATGTAACGTTAACGGCCACATTCCAACAGGTGTTTTGAACCACGTGGAGATAAAGAGAGAAAATGGTTTGGTCAAGGCAGAATTTCTTTCGACAAATATAACCTCAAAACGGTGAACAACTGACTAAAAAGACATGCACACACATTTAACACTATACAAGCGCACCATACATTGAAAATGTTGTTGAAAACGCGGCAACTTGATGGAGTTTTCTAAGCCTGTGTAAAAATTAGGAACAGTCGCTGCCTAATACAGAAATAGTTGATTTCTTGCGGAATATGTTGACATGTTCGTACTAGTTGCTAAGGAATAATGTCAGCCAAGCAATGTACTGGTTTACCTGCCACAATAAGTGAAGTCGTCTCCATACCACGCTGACGTTACTCTTCCCAACTGTCTCGCCATTTTTGTCTTCTCCAAAATTCGCCAGGTCAGGAAATCCGCATTTTCTCTTCAAAACATCACCAGAACGGCGCAAATCCACAGCGAAAACTCCCAGACATTCTTCTGCACACTTACTAAGACATTCTACCGACAAAAACGCCTAAAAGTACCCAGAAAGTTGTGAAAAAATCTGCCCAGAGTATTCCCGTCGTACGAAATCGCCATTTTGAACGGACGATACCAAACTTGTTTTTACATAGGTGTGCAGAACGACCGTGCATAATTAATGTGAATTTGATAATCTAATTACGACGACCAATGACGGCCCTTTTCGGTGCCAGGCACTTATATGTGTCGAAGAAGGACGATTAGATTATCTAATTACGAAGGAAACGAACGTTGATGTCAATCTCGGTAAAAAAAATGGGTAAAAATGCAGCTACAGGGCACCTTTAAATTAGCTATAGTATTTCTATCATCACAAATAAACGTTTTCAAGAATAAGCTGTTATGTGACCGCAGTATAAAACATAACACTCTTGTCTAATTTTGCTATTTATCTATTTTCGCGGTTTATTCCGTGGTAGAATAAATACCTTTTCCACACAGGCAAACCTGTCCTTGGTGCTGAACACCTTCCTCACACAGGTAAACCTGTCCTTGGTGCTGAACACCTTCCACACAGGTAAACCTGTCCTTGGTGCTGAACACTATAGCTATCCACACACAGGCAAACCTGTCCTTGGTGCTGAACACCTTCCACACACAGGCAAACCTGTCCTTGGTGCTGAACACCATCCCCACACAGGTAAACCTGTCCTTGGTGCTGAACACCTTCCACACACAGGTAAACCTGTCCTTGGTGCTGAACACTATAGCTATCCACACACAGGTAAACCTGTCCTTGGTGCTGAACACTATAGCTATCCCCACACAGGCAAAGCTGTCCTTGGTGCTGAACACTATAGCTATCCACACACAGGTAACCTGTCCTGTACATGTGACTTGAAATTTAGTGCCTGGTGACTATGAACGAGCGACACCTAGCGGAATTTGTATGCTGTGAAAACGGACTAGGGTCAACTTGTAATTCAACTCGCTCACTCAATCCCCCAAGTACTGCGGCCCAGGCGCAACAGGCATTACAAAGAGGACTACTGAGTCTTTTCAGACTCTTTAGTAATCGAGCATATTCCCACAACTTTCTCGTTCTTAACCAGGTTTATGTTGGTTTAAACAGGATTCCCCCCAGGTATGTCACGGGAGAAACGCCTGGAAGTAGAACACTTAACTCAAATATGCTGTTCTTTGTTCTTTTTTATCAGCAACAAAATGAATTTAACAAGTTGCATACAGAAAAGCCCATCCAAAACATCGATAAAGACAGTCATTTTCTGTGCCCGAAGCAGCAATCTGCCGGAAATAGTGCATTTTTCCTAATTATCACAAGGTCCAATAGTCTTGTTTTATAATCATTTATCATAATGTGCATTTAAGAAGAAAAGCTACCAAACGACTTAACAAGTTATGAATTAAACTGCTGAACAGAAAATAACTGAATAAATCATCTACCACAAATTCAAAGTTTTTTATTCTATATTTTTTATGATTTTTTATTGCTAACAGCACACCTTCTGTGATATCTTTCTTTATCTTGAAACCACGTGCTTTAAACTTATAAGCAATCTCAAAATATATGCTTTAACACGCCACTATTTATCGGCACCGTAAATACCTTATATGCCCATCCGGTTATCATCGAAAGCCATTCCGCTTATTAGACATTTATATATACACTTTCTCGGTTCAGTGTGCAATGTTAGGTTGAAAATAAATATATCTTCGCTACTGTACAAGTCCTGCACTTAAGCCTTTCTATATCCCTCTGTTCCATTCAAGTTAACACAAAAAATGTTAACGCCTTCCTCTATCAAGGAAATAGACACACAAAAACCCACAGTCTCTGTCCATTCTCACAGTGTATTCACATCAAGACTCTCTCTTGTGATCCCCAGGGGGACCACCGCGCATGTGCATAAGAGCTATGGCGGGAAGACCATAGCTCTAACCAAAAATACATCCCACAATATCATTTTTGAGAAACTTTATTTTCTATTACATGGCTACATAGCATAAATTCATTACAAAATAAATAAAGTACCTAAATAAATTCTCTAAATAATGAGACACTGTGCCTAACGTAAGCTGTATAATCAAAAACTAAATTTGTGAATTGTTTTATTGTGGTTAACAACATGAAACAATGTGCATATAAAGACATAGACTTACTACCACTATTATTACTTTGAACTAAGCAAATACAGAATGGTTAGGTTAAACAGATTACAGCACCATTTTACACAATATAAGGCCACAGCAAGTAATTTTTATGGATGACATCAGCGCACGCATTAATTTTTGCCTGATTTGTGTAAAAAAAGAAGTTTTGTTGCCTTCTGACAGTGGTCTGGTCAACATGCCGAAAATGGGCAAAGATGTCTGTTGCCATGCCGGAACGTGGATGGCAGATAACTATGAAGAGAGGAGACAAGAAAAGGCTCTGATTTAATGTTTTGTTTCTTACTTTGTTGCAGTGACATGTGATGCTGGCTGTGTATATGTGATGTTCCCACTGAATCAAAACCATTTGTACGATGATTGAGTCAAATTCTACAATCTTAATTTTTTTTTTCGGCCCGCCCCTTTTTTTACCCACTCGTATTAGATGTGGAGTCTGCGGAGGATGTCATCCATAAAATTTACTTGCTGTGGCCTCAGAAACAACCTAAGAAACTATTCTTCAACATTAAAAGGACTCAAATATGTTGCACATGATCCACAGAACAAAATGTTTTTTATCATATATCTTCGTATATAAAAAACAAATTGATATTCATAGTTAGTAGTTATATAGTAGCAAATGCCACAATATTTAACAGCATAATAAAAAGATGGAAATTAATAACCTGAATGACAGTAAATGAATGAAATCATGTAATTCACATGTCAAGATATTTTTTGTATGTAAATATTCTTTTTTACATGGCAGTCATTGTTGAATACTGAATTTGATATTGCTTAAGGATGGATATTATTGTGTAGTTTTCATAGCAAAAATAGGTCATTTTTATAAAGGCATTTGTATATTTTGCACACTGAAGTAGCCATTACCAATTGGTTAGGCACAATAGGGCAGCTGATATAGTAAGTTAAAGACACTTGCAGTTCAGTAATATTGCAGTATCAGTGATGAATTCCTTCTTATTCTTGCAACAAGACTTATCTGGTATACATAAATTCCACATTATGGCCTCCCATTTTAATTTCTTGGTTTCAGAATAAAAGAAAACATATATGTCCTCATTGTTAAGTTTTCTTCTGGGGCCTCTGTTTCTTAGCCAAGAAAATAAATTGGTATAGCTGACACGTGCAGACAAACCCAAGCAACAACACTTCTTTTGAACACACAAGTTACTTAAGAATGCCATATAACATTGCTGCATTCATGGTAATACTATATAATCATTTAAGTTATGGTTCCATAAAAATTCATACACCTTTTCAACTCTTCTGAAGAATCTGCTGTTACAAAATATACACATTTCTACTTATATTGCATTTACCATTGCAAGCTTAAGTTGCTTAACACTGATTAAACTGGTAAATATATCTCAAAGCAGAGTTGTGACATGGTCCACCACACTACAGATAGATCAAGAAACTGTCATTCTTCGGTTTGAAACCTTGGAATTGGAAAACCTGTTTTTCGTCCGCAGGTTGACTGTAGGAACTAACTGTTGTCGTTGTCAGAGTTTTGGGGTTTCTCATCTGTGTGAGTTTTTATGTGACACAGAATCAGGGATTTCAGTGCTGAGGCGTACTCACGTTTGTGCAGTTGTACACAGTAGTACGGCCAGGCTAGTGCTACGCAGTGTACATATGTGTTCGTATATGTA